GACAGGAAAACAGGAGGCCAGCACTAGGCAGTTCATGCTAGAGACTGGCTGGACAAGTTCCTCCCCTTTGCCACTGGTGCTAAAGGGGACATGGTCATTGCAAAGGGCAGCTGAGAAAAGTGAGAAGTGCTCTGGTCAATGAAAGAGTTGGGGGATGAAGACCAGAAAGGAGGGATGAGGGCTAAATGTGAGAGGAGCATACAGACAAAGGCCAGTGGTGGCCTTCATGCCCCCTTCCTGCATTCTCTGGTGAACAGCAAAGACAGGCACTTGGTCGGGCCCTGACCAGTATCTTCCCACTTGGGGAAGGTGTATGGAAGGTGGTCTCCAGGAGCCCTTGATAGCAAAGCCTGGGAATCTTACAATGCCCTTTGCCTTTATTCCCTGCTTCCTGACTTCTGCAGGAAGAAAGGAGGTCCTTAACTGGTCCTACTGGGTTCTCAACCCTGTTTGCTATTAAAATTTCCTGGGCTGCTTTCATAAAATTAGACACTTAGGCTTCATTGCAATTCATCAATAGCTAGATTTAAAAAGTAAATGTACAAAAACCTCTCCAAGGTTGAGAACGTCTCTATTGAATTAATCAAACCCAAGAATTCCCAGAGGACCAGATATGGTTCCTCTCACTGGTTTGTTGCAGAATCCTGCTCTACCTGCCCATTCAAGTGGGGCAACTCTTGGGGTATAGACCCAAGGACCAGATCCTCTGTTGAGCTTCTGAAAGGCAGGTTTACCAAGTCTGGAGTTTAGTGTTTTCAAGAGATGCCTGTGGAAGCAAGAGCGGGTCTAGTTGATGCTTTCAAGTCAGGCATTGCAAGGAATGTGATAGGCACAGCTTCTGGGACTGAAGCTTCCTAGGGACATGCCTGCCCAGGGCCTGGCTGGGAAGGGAAAGGGCTAGTGCACAAACAAGGAGATAACCGTGATCATTAAAAGCAGCGTGGATTCAAGCTTCCTCCTACCTCTGTCTTTGTGATTCCATCCTTAGGAACTGCTAATGTGATGTCTATTTGGCTGAGTAGAGAACTAGCTCAGACTAGCAAAAAAGGTCAGTCTAATTCTTACATTCCCTTCAGTATTATCAGTAATCACTAATTTACATTTTTGAACTGAGGGAAAGAAAATATTTTGTTATGTGATTCAGGAATACATTTTATATAGATTAGATTGGAAACGGAAGTTCCTTTCTCCAAAACTACTTGTTCTTGACCTTTCTCCTAATCCCCCACACACTAATAAGGCACAAAGACAGATCTTTGGAAATGGATACCAGTACTGTAACACTTCCCCAACATGCCAAAACCACTTTAGTCTATGTGTGCCACTCTGAGTTACTAGTAAGAATGTGTAAACTATTCAGATTTCAGATTTTAGCTAATATGTGAATGATTTAGGATCCATATGAACTTTCTACTATAAGAGTCAGAAAACTGTTATTTTTTTTAAAGCTATAGATAGTAAATATTTTAAGATCATGGCCCATGTAGCTTTTGTCACAACCTCTTAGCTGTGCCATGCAGCATGAAAGTTGCCATAGGCAATCTATAAAGGTGACTTCATGGGTGACACTATATTCCAATAGGATTTTATTGACACAGAGTCAGGCCAGATCTGGTAGTTTGCTAGTGCCTGTTTTAGCAGCACATAGCTTCCACAGGTTGAACTGAGTGACATTTAACAAATAACAAACAAGGAAGAAAGAATGACAGAGTAAAAGGCTGATAAGGATTTAATGACAAATATTCCATATTGATTGATGAACATTAGAATACTGTCCAAGGAACCATCATTAAATAAAATGACCTGAAAACAAGGCAATTCTCACATACACAAGCACATTCACATAAAACCTGTTACTCTTAAGATTATTAAATTACTATTTTAACAAACAGATGTAAAATAACATTACAGTGAAGAAAAATGTGCACAAACTTCAGAAACACAGTTCAGATTGTCTATGAACACAGATTCTTAATTTGTACTTTTTTCACATATGTACAGCCTCTTGATTGTACAGAGACCACACGGCTCAAAGGGTTAACATCTCATTTTCTTCTTCCAACTTAGAACTCAAGATTTAATCAAAACCATTTCACGTCTAAACTGCTCCAGGTTTTGCTTAGTGAAGGGCAGCAGAGGAAGCCTACTCTGGACCAAACTCACCAGGGAACAAATATTAATAATTCATTTGCCTCCATCATCATCAACAAGTTGGAGTAAGGAATCTTTAACACCATCAAGGATGAACTACAATTAATAGGGTTTACTGAAAAAATACTACTATTCTAAAACTTAAGACAAGAAACAACCTCCTAAATGTATTTAACCTCACTTAATGCAGGTATTTTCCCTGAAGAAGTGTAAGAAAAATGGACTCACAAATTAAATACACCCTGGGAGTGGGATTTTGATGGTTATACAGCTTTCTTCTGCTAAAGGCTTTGCTCATAGAAAAGACATTGACATGATGGCTGATTCTCTTATCCATGGTAATAGAAAGAACAGAGGCAAATGAAGTTCAAGGATTTCTACTGCCTTCATTTCATATATTCACTTTCCATTGAACCCTCTTCTCAAAGCTGCTGATGATATGTAATATATTTGATGCTGATGAGACTGTGCATAATGACGGCAGCAAAAGACCAAACAACCAGTAGAGTAGATAATCAATCCACGAGTAATCAAAAGTTGGAAGAGATTTCACAGGCACAGACTTGAAAGAATTTAAAACAGATGGAAGAGGTAGATGTGCATGGGAAAAAAAAAAATAAAGGAATAAGATTACCTATAAAGTGGCTACATTATTTTTAGGTGATCTTGTACACTTGGTATTCAATTCAGACTAAAAGAGTCATTATAAATAATGGAAATGTAGTTTGCTGGTATAACTCTTGATTAAAATAAAATTTAAAAGAATTAGTGTATTTTGAAATTATCCCTAGTATGAACATCTATTTGTATTTATGAATAGCAGTAAACTAATTCAGAGGGCAAGATCAACAAGCAACACACAAACCCAGAATTTGCAGAATTTTTTTCAGTGTTCTTATAATGACAAAAACATGCTTTTCCACAGTCCCCAAAGTTCTTTGCTAGAATACAACAGATCAAGTATAAATTACTAGCATTCACAGAAACTTTGCTAAAACTGTAAAAACCGTCTTGTAGCTTTATCCCCCCCCCTTCAACTGTGTCCAACAGTTTATGAAGATGCTTCTATGAATAGTACAGGGTAACAAATGTTAGTGAAGAAAACAATACTGTTTCCCACAATTCTAACTTCTAAAGGCTAACCTAGGGAAGGGACTTTCAGCATATGGAACTGAAATCTATACAAAAGTCATCTAACTACAGCCCTCTACTAGAAATGCAACATAACTAGGTCACTCTAATTAGGTGACAAAGACCAGCTTTGTCAATAAGGACATCTTTGGCCCTTCTAGGCTAGCTTTGAGTTTTCAATCAAAGGTAAAAATGTTCAGTGTCCTTATTTATATATATATATATATATATAAATCATGACAGGTATGTCTTCCTAGCAGCTGAGCTGGAGAACACAAAAGGTGAGGCCATACCTCTTCACACTGTCCTCAGCCTTTGTTCAGGTCAGCCTGCCATATTCCTGCCCCCAGGCTTTCCCTAAGACAGAGGTCATAATACTGATTTAGCTCACAAAGACGTGAGAAACAACTAACAATCATTAAAAAGCATAAAGCACTTTGCAAATACAAAAGTGCTATTTTGGCATCTATATAACAACTAGAAAACATTCATTGCTTGTGCTATTTGGCAATTTTGCATTTACACCTCTCCCTGACTTTGCCCTCTTTGTGTAAAGCCTTGAGATTTCCACTGTGCTTCCACATGAAGGAAAAAAGAAATTCTTGCTTGAACTAGATCCCTCATCAATATGAATGGAGTTGGGGGTGAGCGGGTAACAGGGCACACATGCAAACTGAAGGCAAAAAGACAAAGGAGCCTTGCATTCCAACTTGTGAACTTTGCTTTCCTGGATTTTTCACATACTGCCAGAAAAACCTCCTAAGCTAACTGACTTCTGTAGCAGATCATTAGGACAGCAGTTTACCATCTGGGGTTCACTTGAAACACAGACATCAAGCTGACCTGGGAAGGGGAAAGTCACACATAGCTGAGATTGTTCCATTTTCCTGATCACAAGTGACACCTTAAAGAAATACTGGGCCTGGCACACACACCTGACACAGGGCAAGGGGCAGGTCAACCACGTAGATGATTTTGACCTAGCACAAAGTTAGAGGGTGTTCAAGGCAGTACCAAGGAATCAGAAGCAAGAGCAGGATTTTTCAAGAGATCTAAGAACCAGTTACAAATGTATGTCTACACCCTAGAAGTCGCCCCTTGAAATGAGGTTGTGTAGTTTTCTTCCCAGTTTCCCTTGGATGCCTCAAAATAGCAGCTAACTGTGGCTCAGAGAAAGGAAGAGTATACTAAATATCCTCTCCTTCAGGATGGACAAGAGTCTCCTCGATTATAGCTGATTTGGGGGCTCAGGGCAAACACTGGCTTACCACCTGGTTGGACCAGTTCAGAATTATTTATACCCGCATTATACTTTATTCTCACTCCAACCATACTTCCTCCCCTGATTCCCCCAGGTCATTGTAGCCCAATCTACTCTATTGCCTGCCATCCTGTTTCCCACCCCCACTCTCCAAACCCCCTTCCTCAAGGTCCTCAAATCACCTATTCCTCCAAGCCCCTTCACTCCCTACAGGGTATATTTGAGGAAGTCGTTACTCAAACACATCTCCCAAAAGTTTCTTGGAGATCAGGAAGTAGGCAAAAATATAGCACCCCAAAATAACAACTCTTACTGGGGACTCCTTAACACTCAAAGGCTCCTCAGTCACTCTCAGCTTGCCCCTCCCGCCCCTTCCCCACTTCTTTCAATAGGGTTTGTCCCCAGGACACCTATTCCCTACATGCTTCACAGAGGGCGACCTCCCTCCGACCTAACCCTAGCACAGGTGCAGCTTCTGGTGCTGTGCAAGGTGCGTTTTGTAGCGGAAGCCTTTGCCACAGCCTGCGCACTTATGCGGCTTGTTGCCAGTATGGATGCGGCGGTGGCGGATCAGGTGCGAACTCTGGATGAAGCTCTTGCCGCACTCAATGCATGTATAGGGTTTCTCGCCGGTGTGCGTGCGCTGGTGCTGCGTGAGCGTGGAAAAATCGCTGAAGCGCTTCTCGCACTGGCCGCAGCGGAAGGGCTTCTCGCCTGTGTGCACGCGCAGGTGGTTCACCAGGTGCGAGTTGCGCCCAAAGCCCTTGCCACACTCGCGGCACACATAAGGCCGCTCACCCGAGTGCGTGCGCTTGTGCGTGAAGAGGTGCGAGCTGACGCTGAAGGTCTCGCCACACTCTGAGCACATGTAGGGCTTCTCTCCTGTGTGCACGCGCTGGTGCTTCACCAGGTCCGAGCGCCAGCTGAAGCGCTTGCCGCACTCGCTGCAACCATGAGGCTTCTCGCCCGTGTGGATGCGCTGATGGTTGGCCAGATGTGAACGGCGCACGAAGCCCTTGCCACACTCCCCACAGGCAAAGGGGCGCAGCGCTGCAGCACCTGCACCGCTGGCGGCCGCGTGCGCACGCCTGTGGCTCAGCAGGTGCGAGCTGAGGCTGAAAGCCTCACCGCACTCTGGGCACGGATAGGGCTTCTCACCGGTGTGCAGGCGCCGGTGTTTGAGCAGGTCCGCGCGCCAGCTGAAGCTCTTCCCGCAATCCGCACACAGGTTGGGCCGCTCGCCAGTGTGCAGGCGCAGGTGGTTTGTCAGGTAGGTGTTGCGGCTGAAGCCCTTGCCACACTCCCCGCAGCGGAAGGGCTTCTCGCGCGGGGGGCGGGCCAGTGCGGGCCCAGCTCCAAAGCCCCCCGCCACGCCCATCCCCATCATCCCCACCACAGCTCCGCACTCGCCCGCCAGGCCGAAGGGCTCCAGGCTGGCTACCGCGGCGGCCTCTGCCAGGCGGTGAATACGCTGGTGCTGTAGGAAAGCGGCACCTGGGCTGAAGCTCTCCCCGCAGTCGGGGCAGATGGTGGGCGCATCCATGATGCTAGCCACCAGGCTGTCTAGCTCCCCGAGATCCATGGCCATGGGGTGGTGGAGGCGGTGGAAGCGGCGGTGAGCAGGTTTGTCACCTCGGTGGCGACTTCCCAGGGACAGGTGGCGCCTCCACGGAAGTATGGGAGGTGGCGGCTGCTCTTCTTCCTCTTCCAACCTATTCTCTCCAGTACTTTCCTCCTCCTCTTCCTGGGGACTCCGGGATATGCTGTCTGATTCCGACAGACCTGGGAACATCCCCATGTCAACCACACCAGGCTGATCATCTTCCTCATGGAGAGCAACAGCTTCCTCCTCACTCAGCAATCCCTCTGCAACATTGAAAAGAAAGCAGAGGGGCTTAGTGACCTAGCGCTCAACAAGATAAGACTAGAGGAAAGGAGCTTGGACAATAAGAGTGTGTGGGCCAAGGTGTAATGCACCTCCCCCAAATGCTCCCATTCTCCACCCAGCCCCTTACATTCCAGCCCAGCTCCCACTAGGTTCCTCCCAGAAAAGGCCTAAGGAGTGTACACTCTCTGCAGACTTTGCTACTTTGTTTTCCAGTTCTTCCGCAGGCCCCACCCAGCGGAGCTATCTGAATGCAGGAAATGGCAGAGTCTGTGCCAGGTGGAACTCCCTGGGATCTCGACCTCCAGAGAAAAGGTTTTTCACTGCTTGAGAGCTACCAGTGCCTTGTAAGGCTATTGCCTCAAAAGAAAAGATCAGCGTAGCTAACCACACACACACACACACACAAATAAATAGATAGATAAATAAATAAATAAATAAATAAATAAATAAATAAATAAATAAATAAAACACTTGGCCTAACCAAGCCCTAGACCGACTTTCAAAGGCAGTCTGAAAAAGAGGTGGCATGGGAGAGGGGCAGGAGGCTAAAATGAAGCAAATAAATTCCATGCATATATGATTATGAACCCAGCTTTTTAAAACTGCATCCTGGTACAGCTTCAGGTGAAACAACAAACTAAACTCACCTTCTGGTCTTATCTATGGATGGGGGAGGAGAGTGATGACAGAAGGAAAGTGCATGGAGGCTAGAGCTATTGAGCCCAGGCTGGAGGCTGCTTCAAGGATACACACCTGTTAGTGTTTAGCTACTTTATCCCCAAGCAGAGGGCACTGCAGGAAGTTACTCAGTTATGGAAGGCCACAAGCTGTGTGCACTGTGGGGGAGGGCAGCAGGGAGTCTGGGACTTTGTCAGGCGGTAAGGAATGTAACCTTACAGTCCTAGCATAGAGTATTTCAGCTCATTTCTGACCCTGGGGCATGTACTCAGCTGGATAAAGTAACAAATGCCCAAAGACAGAAACCAGGAAGTGGATAAAGATCCAGCTCTCAGGTCAGGAATGGCAAGGGATTTTGTAGAAGAATTGGGCACTCGGGGAATTAGTCACATGAACCTAAACAGGTCATTTAACACTGTTTACTTGTCTGCAGAGGAGGTATGCCTGCATCTGGATACTGTGCTCAACACTGTGCTCAGTAACTCTTTAAATTCAGCAACTCATTTCCAGCGACCCTTCCAGTGTCACCTGAGTAACTGAAGTGCTGTTAGAACTGGGAATTAACAGTAGTGATCTGTACTGTAAAGTGCTGTACCCATGAGTGAGCCTCTTCACCAATGCCTACCAGCACAGCCCACCTCAGACTGGACTGAAGAAAATAATGTGCCCAAGGACCAGTCCTAGAAAGGCTATGTTAGTACAGAATCCTGCTTAATGGTCTCTAGAAAGCTCCCCCAAAGATAATGCTGCCCCTGTTTGTAATTCTAGAAAGCAAGATGTGAATGTGAGTGGGGGAAATTCCCACCTCCTCACCTGTGCAGATGTTGGACACTACTTCCCTTCCCCTGAAGTCCTCACTTAGAGCTTCCTCCTGGGGGCTGGAGCCCATCTCCAGCTCCAGGTGGCCTCTTTCTTCTGCATCCTGTGAATTCAAGCCCATTCCTCTTTCTTCTGGGTCCCCTTCCCTGTCCTCCGTGTTCTCAAAATCGGAGCTCATCGCTCTGTCTTCTGAGTCCTGGTGTTCACACATACCCTGGTTATCTTCTTGTTCCATCTAGGAAGAAAAGAACAACAGTGGTGGCCAAGGATCCCTGCTCCAGACAAAACACACAGAAAAGTCACTTCAGCGTCCACTTTGCTCACCATGTCTGGCCTTGATCTCCCCCCATCCAGTAAAATTTCTAGACTTCCAAGTCCCAGATGGCAAATGTCTATTCCCCACCCTGTGTAAATTTAAGGTAAACAACTGGGTACAGAGGAGGACATCTGGGTAGTGGACGAATTGTAGCAACCTCATTCTAAGGCCATGTGCAACACTCACTGGTCCCAGACTTGGTCTGCTTCTGTCTACGAAGTACATATTTATTAGTGTGGCCTTATAGTTTAATCATGAGGTAGATATCCCCATTTTTATAGCTGAAAAAAAAATGTAAAGTTCAAAAAGAAGACCTGTTAGCCTAAGGCTCCATAACTCATAAATAGAGGGAAGATTAGACCAATTTTTCTAGCTCAAAATTATATGCTTTCCTTACTCTTATTAAGCTTGCCCTCCACAAGCCCATAACAATCTTATGAGTACTTTTGCTAATTATGAGAGGGCCTTTATGGAGCCAAAAAAAAAAGTACAGTCAGGACACAAGGATAACTACCATCAGTATGGTAACGTCCTACATAAGACCATGTCTTCAGTGGCACCACCAACCCTGGCTTTGTGGCATTGATCTGCTGCATTGCTGGGAGCTGTAAGCCAAGATGATTCAAGGCTGTTAGCAGGTCTGTTGGGGGCAGAAGGCAGAGATGCAAGGGCTTCCTAGATTAGAAACATTTCTGTGCTCCTAATTACATATTTTGCAATATCTGAATCGAAAGTAAGCTTTAACAGGAACATGCATGAGGGACAACTGATAACCCTTCTACAGAAGAGGCCAACATGTGAACTACAGGGAAAAAATAACATCAGATTCCTAAGCCTTTTGTAGATGTCAGGTTTACATCTCAAATACAAAGGGCCCCCTGCCAAGACTGAGCATTTGAGCCAAAAATAATTTATTTCTGCCATCCATCACTCCTACAGCTTGGCTCAAGGCAGCAAAACGGTTTCTAGGTGGAGGAACTTGGACTATGACTTTGCAAGAGACTACCACTTCAGCAGTCCCCAAACAGGAATGCAAGAATATGGCTGATGAGTCCAGTCCCCAGTACTACCAAAAAAGAAAAAGAAATAATAATAATAATGAAGGTTGAGCAAGACTTTTCCTGTCTCTGTTGAAGTCTTCCCTGAGGCAGCCCTGGCTCTGCAGACCCTTTGGAGTGGAAAGCAGGAGTTACAGGCAGAGGAAATTCCTCTGGCTGGGTCAGCCTCAGTGTAGAGACCACAAGGCACTGTCAATTAACCTCTCATTGTTTCGGAGTCCTCATCATTGCAAAGAGGGTAATGTTACTTAACCTTGCTCACAGGGAGAGTGTCAAGAGGAAACTAATTAGAGATCACTTTGGAAAACACTACCAAGAATAATTGATGCTTTGAGTTTTACAAATGTGAGATACACATCATTCTCTTTTTAAGTCCTAATGCTGGTCTAGCATACCTCAAAGACACACTGGCTCCTCTACAATTCTGCATACACATTAGCCTGATAACGTATTAGATTCTTTTCTCAGCAGTGAAAAAATATAGTCCCTAGATTAGAATGAAAAAAAAAAAAAAAAAAAAAACAATCAGGTTCTTCCCTTAAATGTTTTGGATGCCTGAGCATGATCTGTCAGTAGCGTCCTACAATGCATCTGAGTTCCTTTAGAAAGTACATCATTTAAAATACCAGGTTCCCAATACTCCTGATTCTTCTGTTAGGCTGTAGGAGAAAAGATCTCCTTAAACCACAAACCTTTTCAGAGGTGTATCCCACAAGAGACTATTGTCCCCAGTCACTTCAGCTCATCACTCTTGCCTTCTGCATGCCAAACTTGGACTCAAGTCTCTCTATATAATGTTCTTGAGGTGTGAACAGGCGACAGTCAGCTTTGCTAGTGTCAGAAGGCAGCAGAGGGGATGGGTGGTAGGGAAGGGGGAACTAATCAATGGTTTCTGCCAACTTGAGGCCAGCAAGAACTTCATACCACTAAAGGAATTAAGCACATCACTAGAAACTCATAAAACAGCAAGGTTCAGTGCCCAGCATGGCCTAGATTTAACTGCAGCTCTCTACCCAGAAAGGTGGGACCAACCTGGCAAGCAAGGAGCAGGGCTTCTCCTCTGATGCATTTTAAGGACAGCTTCTTAGCGCCTCAGAAATGGCAAGAGTGGAACAAGAGGACAATCGGGTTTGTGATTTCTTGCAAATCAAGAGAGCAGTCATACCAGAGAAGTTCAATTCAGAAACATGTTTTTTTCAGATTTAAGGGGGATAACATGCATGCGAGAGCCAGAGTCCAAGTGGCCGGCTCAGGGCTGGCATATGAATTCACAGTGCTGCCACGCTCAGAATCAAGGCAGGTTCTGAGCTCCCCCCACCCCCACCAAAAAAAAAAAAGGTATGCTCTGAAGAATGTCGAAGCTCCTATCACCCAGAGGCAACGTTCATGGCACAACTACTCCAATCTGCTCAGTGCAAAACTAGGAAACTATACACCTAACAAATGTATTCAGTTCCATTCATGCCATCACACACTGGGGTTTAGGCAACCATCAAGTCATGGAGAAGGACATGTGGGGGTAAGGAAGGGGCAGAGAACCTGATGAAAGTAGGTGGTTTAAAAAATTACCTCTTTTGTTTATTAATAGATGTATGTTAGCATATATATTTGCACATGAATACACAGGCTCAGAGAGGGTGACTAGAAGAATATTTGTTAAAATGTTAAAAATCTCTTGTTTACCTCTGGGGGATTTTGCAGCTATCAACTCATTTAAACTTAACAAAAATCCAATGAGGTTTGGCTATTTCCAACTTCACAGACCAGAAACAGACACAAAAATGATGAGGCCAACATCATACACAGACCTGCAGAGCAGGGCCCATACCCTGGAAATCCAGAGCCAGTGCCCACATTCTTCAGCAGCTTCTCTAAGTTTGAAAAGTCATGTCATTTTGTGTGCATCTGTATTTTCTACAGTAAACATGTGGTTTTTAACTGGGAAAAAGGCCAATGTTGTTGATAACATAAGTTATATTAAAGAAAAAGCCCTATGATTTTTTCTAGAAGGAACAAAAAAAGGAAGACGAGGAGTTGTGATCTCCTCATTCTAGAAGACCTGCTATTCAGAAATGTTATCTCGTCAGTGGTGTGACTGAAGTGTCAGTCAGCAGATATTCAAGCACACTTTGTTCCAACTCCTTCCCCACTCATTCTGAAAATAAAAACTAGCAATATGTTTTCTTGGGCAAGGCCACAGTTGGATAATGAGTGGGTACCGGGACAGTTTGGTGGCTTTGTGACCAGATTAACCTGGGTTCAAATTCTCTGCTCTTTGCCAGCTATTTGACCTTGTGCAAGTTGCATGACCTTGTGCAAGTTGCATGACCTTGCTGAATCTCAGACACTATAGCCTTAAAAACAAGGATGCCCCCTCCTACCTTGTATGGGTGTTTGAGAACCATATAAGATTGGTGTTTTATAAAAGCCACCGGCACCTTAGAGACACAATCAGTAGTAGTTTGACTACTGTAGTAAACTTTAGCCTATTTCTTGATTTTAAAAATTACACAGGTTCACAGCTGTTTTCACTGAGAATGGCCTTCAATGAGTACAAGCAGAGCTTCCCTCATTCCTGCTGCTGAAGGCTTAATGAACAACCCACCAAATGAACAAAGGAGCCGGGAGTGGGGGGCGGGAGCTAGCAGCATAGGGGAGCTAAGGAGAGCAGGAAAGTTTATAGCTGATGAGGCATATATGGGTCTAAAGCTGAATGAGGAACAGGCAGGTGCTTCAACAAACCAACACCATCTGCAAGGGAGCTAGCCACCCCCTAGTCAGAAGGAATAGAAGACTAGAACAACAGGGAAGTGGGAATAGCCAGGCAGACAAAATTAATTCCACATTTTATTCTAATCACTGATAGAAACAAAAAAGCTGTGGGAGAGAGCCCTGGTTGGGAGCAGCACCACCCCTGTGCTGTGTGACTGTGGGTAAGTATTTGCCCCCTCTGGACTTCTACTCAATGAGGCATTTGGGTTTGGGTTTGAATGTGCCTGAGTCCTCTTGTGGTCATGTGTCACATACTCGGGTAAGTTCATCTGAAGAGGCACTATGGTCAGGCTCAGGAGACAGCTTCTGCCCCAGCGTGGCAACTCACACCCCCCTAAAGATCCCCTTCACCTTTATACAGCCTTTGACTGCAGATCACATCAGTTAGGGTGGCACTGGGCAACCTCCCCAAGACTGTTCCAATCCCAGTTTCTAGAGCTTAACAACATTTTTGTGCCCCTTCCTTTACCCCAAAGTCAATAAAGAAAACTCATCACCCTATGAAAATGCTCAAGTGCCTTCCAACCATACTCAACCCTGCTGAAAATACTAATCAGCTCACCTGAAGACTCTGCTGCTGAGTGGAGGTAAATGTGATAACGTATCTTTGAAAAAGAAAAAAAGAGAGAGAGAGAGAGAGGGAGGGAAGTGGGAGAGGGGAAGTGAAGCCATTGTAGAGCCAGAATTAGAATTTAACCTGAGTTTATTATTTTCCCAATGGCTACCTGCAAAATCTCTTTGATTTGAACAGAAGCCCCACTATGAATTTAACTGACTTTCCTGTGAAGGGGTTGGGGTAGACAAGCACACACGTCTCTCACACCTTCCTAGATTTTACAGAGAGAAACCAAGACTAGGAATAATAGCCAGTGTCTCAGCCTCTCAGAGATAAATCACTGGTTGCCCTCTCTCATCTTGGGAGCATTTTGGGTTTTTGTTTTTTTCTTGGACCCCACACTGCTCTGCCACTTCCCTGCCAGGAGGTAACCTACTGCTATCAGGCTGGGAGCCAGTGTTCTATTGGAATAGATCTATGTGTCTATACCACAATTTAACAAGTCCCTCTCCTCTGGCTGGTAACTGCAGGTA